TCTTTATAATTGGAGCCGAAACATCCTGGCACACTGATACGCCCAAGTACATTTTGAAGGACTGCAGATAGACTAGGAGACACTGGTTGATAAGGGAAATGAGGGAATTAATAAATAAAGTTAAAAAAAAAAAAGAAAAAAGAACATTAAGAGTGCCTTTCAGATCTGCCAGGGACCACACCAGAGACCACCACCGAAAGACCCCTTGTACGCAAGCACAGTTGATTTAAAAATGATTAAGCAATATTTAAATGCATTATAATGATATTTAAATTGCAACCAACCATTGCAACTTAGATTGCGAAATCCTGGAACTTTTGTGTATGAATATGCTAAGAAAAGTGACCATACTCGTGTGAGCGTGAATGGAGTAAATAATACCCCTCGCACCTGACACTGAATAAAGAATGCCTGCTTATTAATGCTACACTGGTGTTAAGAGGTTTTTCTATTCCCAATTTCAGTGACAAAGGCTCTGAGGGGGCATGAGAACAAGTCAGTAGCACAGAAAACACACTGGAGAGAATGATACAGTGCGCAGAAGGTGCACATTTCACAGATCCCAAACAAAGCCCTGGTGCAGTGCAACTCTGCCACGATCGTTTTACACAACCTCTCTGTGCAGCAGCTCTGTGTCAGCAGGGAACAGTCCTGTCTTCAGAGGCTCAGAACAGGAAAACCTGCCCAGGTCTGGACTAACAGCCACAAAGATTTCTGGCCCAATTAAGTGATATGGGAACATCTCTTCTTCCGTGCATTGAATATGTGACTTGTTTTTTGCTATAGTTGGCTTTTGACTTGAATACTAGGAAATGGAATTATACAAAATGCACTCTCCCAGAAGCAATCAGTACAGTCCAATTTGTGAGGGGACACTTGATCCCTCCTGGCCACTCTTCCATCTCAGCGGTGAGGAGGGAGCACATACCTAACAGGGAAGCAACTTTAACTTAGGGGAAATTCAGAAATGGCAGATGGGAGGGAAGGGGAAGGAAAGGGGAGAAGGACAAGTAGCCAGTACAGGAACATTTTAAAGAGTAAAAAAGGCAGCAACTGGGGACAATTTAATACAGGCAAGGGCCAATAGGCAGTTTAAGGGAATCAAGCATTCTTCCAGTGAGACAAGGAAGACTTTGAAAGTTCATACTAAGGAGAGAGAAAGCAAGGAAGCAGAGGGTGCAGGAGGCAAGTGACACAACACAGTCCAGTGCCAGGTGACAGGGTAACTGTCCATGCGTACTCACTCCTCGTGGCAGGAGCTGTCAATGGCTCTTTATCGCCTGCAATGTTTGTGCACGTTATTAATGTAAGCAGAGTCTGACAGCCAGATACTGCCCAGCACTTGTTCCTTTTTGCACTGGTAGTGGCACATGCACAGGGAAGAACTGTCTTACACTGAAACTAAGTTTGACCAGCTCCATCTTTGACCATTTTCATTACCTAGAAATTCAGTTTTCAGCCTTTTCAATGTACCCTTTTGACTCCTCCAAGCATCCATTTACAAATCACAGCGTCACACTGCTGTGATAGCCTATGAACTTGTTTTTTCTTCCCCTCAGTCACCATCACCAAGCACAGACTCATTCTGAAAGTCATCCTGAGACACTGTGGGCTCTGTGAACCACTAGTTGAAAGCCAAAGAACTCGATCAACTGACTGAAGAGCTGCAGATCAAACTCCAGGCAGAACAGGAACATACTAGAAGTCACCATGCAGTTCAACACAATTTCCAGAAAACCAAAGGGACTGGCTCACCCTTAGCTCTGGCTCCCTGCATGGCCTCACCTGGTGTGAGATTCAGGACGTCAGGGTTGGAGAAGTGCGACGGTTGGCGTTCGACCAGTTCAAACATTGGCAGCGCTCCTCTTACCAGGGACAGCTGTGGAGCAGGAGCAGAGCCATGAGAACCAACAACTCCGTACTCAGGGTGCTCTGGGTCTTTAAGGGATAATAATGGGACTTCACTGCAGCTGAAAAAACATTTCTCAAATCTTTGACTCACATCATCAGCAAAATTTCAGAGCTGTGCTCTTTTTGGTACTTTAATAAACCTTTTTCATATGTTTTAAAATGGGATCATGCTGCAGAGAACATGGTCTCTGTGCAGAGGTTTGGAAACAAGATAATAACCTAATATCCCTTTACCAGGGATATAAACACAAACCTTTCTGATTTGCTGGCACCAATCATTAAAGTCCTCCTCTGTATTGCAGAAAAAGCCCTGAAAAAAAGAGATTTTATCTTTATATATTGTAGATTGATCATTTCAGTCTTTAGGCCTTGCACTAATGCCATGCAACATGACCAGGACTGCGAGCAGTCACAACACCTAACTGCCTTGCTTTTGAACTGTGGATTACGCTGGCCCGTTTAACTGAACAGCCCCCATATCACAGAATCGTTAAGGTTGGAAAAGACCTCTATGATCGTCAAGTCCAACCGCCAACCCACCCACACCGTGCCCACTAAACCATGTCCCCAAGTGACACATCCACATATTTTTTGAACACCTCCAGGGATAGTGACTCCACCACCTCCCTGAGCAGCCCCTTCCAGTGCTTGACCACTCTTCCACTAATTTTTTTCCACATGTTTGATGTGATCGGGCTATCCAAGTGCTGGGAGCATCGATGTAATAGTCTGCTCTACTGCAGAAGGAATACGGGGCAGGAACCAAGGGCAGGCATCGCAGGTTCAACAGGAAACAAGCCACGTTGAATCATAATATGGATTCAGATCTGCCCATCAAAAGACAGGAATCAAAACCCAAACTAAACCTGAGAGAAGGATACTGCCCCATGAGGAATGGCATTTAATTGCCATGCAAGGGGGACCTTCCTGGACCAAACCACTTCCTGCATGAGGAGCTTCTTTACCAACGTTACCACAGCCCATAGCAGCACTCACGCAGAGCACAGCATGCCTCTGTGGTTTTTGCCAGTTCTCTGGGGGAAGGGACAGCTGTGAAACAGAGGTATCGCAACACCGCTCCTGTGGATGACTGGAAACAAGCAGCAAGAACGCACCACCGCAATGGAGGGGTCGAGCTCAGCAATGCTCATTCTGCAGGGAGGGTGCTGGCAGTGGAAGCTTTCATCGGGGAGACAGCCGCTGTCATTGGGCTCCACCGCAGGCTGCGTCGTGTGGGGATCCAGGTAAATGAGCTCCTCACCTGGACAGACAGGCAAGGAGACATGAGGAGGAAGAACCACTCCACAAGCTGGTTCTCTGAGAAGTAAATGGTGAGATACAAAGAGGAGAAACAGCCAGCTCTCGAAATCCCACATAGCAACCCATGTTCTAAAGGGGCACCTTCCATTCAGATGCTTTCTCAACTGCTTCTCATCCAGGCAAAGAGCCAGCTGCCCGCTCCACAGCGACACCCTGGCCTCACGGCACAGGCGCTATCTGGACACTGCTCCTGCACATGCCTTCCAGGGTCCTGTGTAAGCTCAAGTTGGCCCAGAAATTCAAAGCACAGCCAGACTGAGATCTCGGGCAGAATCGGATGGAAGGAAGAGAGTAAAAGGACAACAGTTTGTAGAGTTTCAGGAAGGGGACAACTAAAGGACAGCTAAATCCAGCCAAGACCCTAACGGGAGGTCAGCTCTGAATGCAGGAAGAAGTCTCTATGCACACCTCTTTACAGACAGGACTGAGCATTACGCAGTGGAAGTTTATGGCCCGTACCATGGTCACTGTTCAGACCTACACCACTCAGGTCCTCACAAAGAAGACCATAGCAGTTCACAGCAGCCTTCCAGCAGGAAAGAACCACCCTGCAGCATGCACCACAGACTAAGCAGGAGAGCTGTACCGCTCCACAAGCGGTTATTAGCTGGCGGGGGGATGCTTGCAAAGGCTTTGCAGTACTCTGGACACTCACCTACATAGCCAATGAAGTAGTGAGCACTGTTTGGTTTCCCTCCGATCACTCCCAGGGACTGGGGCATCATGAAGCAGTGCTGGAAAAGCAATACAGAAAACACACAGCTGACAGACAGTGAGGCAGCAGCTGGTAACAAAGGCAAACATCCAAAAACGCAGTGGGAAAGAAAGACAGGGACACTGAAAATCAGCAGAAACAGCCATTTCTGGAGAGAAGCTCCATCAGGAAGGCTGAAGGCTGTAACACAGGGCCTTCAAGGAACACAGAAGCAGCTCAAAAACACCTTTAACTGCTGACAGAAACACACAGGTGGACCAACTGGAGGAAGCAGCACTACTGCAGAACCCAGTCCAGGCAAGTCCTGGCTCCACTGCAGTCAGTGGCAAGATACCCTGGAGCTGTCGTTAGGTTGTAACAGTGCTCTCAGGAGGAAACCGTCATTCAGGAAACAGTTTAAGTTCCTTATCCAGCTGCAGTATCCAGGCACCATCTACTGATTTAAGGGCAAGTAACTCTGAGTGGATTTGGAGCTCTAACCAGTGCAGCTCACAGCTTGCTAGCATTAGTACAGCAAGACAACGTGCATCGTCTTGTGTGTGTACTTTGTGCACCCTAAATTCTGCAGCCTCCTGATACTCCACACTGCAAGCCAAATTACAGCCTCCCATCTGCAGTACAAGCTCCAGAATCAGAGCCACGGGGAGACTGCAGCACTATTCATTAATGCTCAGGTTGCCACCAAGCACAATGCAGTTGTGCTGAACGAATGCTGCAGCAGGTTGGTACCACCCAAACACAGAGGGACTGAGATCGAGCTGGAAAGCAAGATCCTCCAAAAACAACCAACCCCAAACACCAAAACCCACAACCCGCCACAAGCCCCACACATTTTCCTGACTAAAGCCTGCAAGAACTCATATCCCGACCCCTGACGAGGATTGTCTCTAAACACATATTTCTTTTGAAAAGAGGACAATTATTTCTGAGTATCTTTGCCCAAAAACCAAATTACGGCAATGACTTAATTCACAACAGAGTCCTTAAGCATCAGAACACCAGGAATTCAGCTTCAGGTCCCCTACCTTTAGTGTTTCAATATAGGCTTCATTGATCTCTGTGAGCCCAAGGCGGAGAGGTATCAGCAGCACCAATGGTTTCCACAGTGAGAGCCTATCTCTAACCCCCGCTTCCTCTGGGTACCCATTATAGAGTACGTCTGACTCCACAGCAGGGCATGCTGCAGCTCCAGCACACGGGAAGTTGGACTGGCACAACCGCCCTACAGAAAGGGAACACGAGCAGAAAGCATCAGAAATTACCTCGGTTTCTACACCTTGAGTAATTCTATTCAAGCTCTGGTCGACAATTGCCATTTACTAAAAGCCTACAGCGCTCAATAAGAAAGAAAAGCTTGATTGCAGCACTGGACCTCTTCAGGTGATGCACGTACTCCCTGCAGGGTGTCTGGTAGGGCTCGGCATTTCATCTAAGCTTACATCAAGACTATGCCAAAGCATGCTGTACTCACAGCCACCATCTGCTGGGCTGTTAAAATGCAGATTTTTACAGCAGGTGAGCAGATAGGCAAAAACTTGTGCCAACAAAGTCGAAGGACGCGATTAGGAGGTGAGGCAAGAATCCTGAATTCAGAGAATGTGTAGGCAAAAAGAGAAAAATCCAGGAAGTTCAACTCTGGAGGAGTTCATGGAGGATATGAACACAGTTGAACTGAATGAGGAAAGCATTATGGCTTAACACAGGAATTATTCACCTGTAACTAGCGCTGTAACAAGATACAAACACAGTATCTGTCTAGAGCAGTTGTAATTTTTGTGAAGTTCATTAAAGCCTTCAAAACTTTTCTCGGGGATCATTCAGAAGCTACTTTAAAGATCTAAAGCAGAATGATCATTAAACTCTGCAATTTCAGCATGAGCTTTGCCTGTAAGATATGAGGCACTAAAACTCCTCGGGGAATACACATGACATAAGCACTATGGATCCTCATTCCACAGGCTTGACAAACACCCAGCCACGCTGCAACGCAACCAGATTATGTAAATTCTGGCACAGAAACATCTCCAAGCCTACCTGTCTCACTGGCCAATGTCATTACTTGCTGGGTGTATGAAGAAAAAAAATCAAACCCCAAAGAAACCCACAGCACTTTAATCATGAAGCCAAGCAATCAGACAAAATGCCAGAGGCTCATTTAATTTATTTTTGGCTGAAGCTGAATGCCAGGACACTCCAGCAGGTAGGACACAATGCAAACAAGTACCTTCATCACCAGCCATTTCAGCAGGGTGTGTGTTTGCTACCAAGAGCTTCAAACCCAGCTGAACAAGGAGATGTTACACCCAAGGTTAGAAGAAATGGGACTTTGATCTAAAGCCTCAGAAGGAGAGACAACCTACGCTGAAAGGTTTGGAGCTGCTCCCCATACAGTCCCTCAAGGAGGGAGAAGGTGTATGTATGCATCTCTCATCCACATTATAGTTAAAGGAGGTCCTGAGAAAATGGAAAGTCATTATTCATAGTGATTTATCCTGTTAAAACAGCAAAGACCATGGGGTTTTTTGTGGCAGTAGCCTGCCTGTTCCGATGATCTGAAACCAGCTGCCAAGCCAGGGCTGTTGCTGAATGGCAGGGTGGGGAAGGTCACTGCAGGTTTCCTCATCAGGCAAAGCAACTGGCAATCTCGCACTGTGATATGAAGATATTTAAGCCACGTTTAAGCAGTAGGGAACTCAGCACAGACTAAATTCACCTTGCTTCTTTGGCAGGCTTTGCAGCGCTACAGTGCCACAGCACAGCAGAACCTGCCTAAAGCTTCCCACCTGGATCCAAACTGCTCACTGCAAACATATTCCAACAGATCTGACACAACATCTCTGCTGCTGCTGCTGTCAGGTACTGGCTTTACTGTCTTGGTTTCACATCACCTTTCCGCAGTACAGGATCCTCCACTGCCCAACTAAGAGCCCCTCTCTGATACAAAAGACTGACTCAGAAGGGATAAAAATTTTTTACAGTGCTGTAGCAAAAGGCATTTCCTATGAACCTTAGTCTGAACAGTGTTAGTGCCTGAATTTAACAGCATTAACTTCTGAATGCTTCACTATCAACAGAAGTTTGGGGCACAAGATACGTAACATACCTACAGACACAAAACACATCAGACCCACTCACACAGTGACTTTCAGGCTCTGAACAGGTACATTATGATTCATGTCTGAGGAAAATAAACAGACAACCCCTGTGCATGACAAGCTGCACAGACACGCTACTTGAAGCGCTGTCAGTGCTGAACAGTCAGTGCCACAAAGACAAGAGCCTGCAGCAGACCCAAGCCTCGCAGCCAGCATGCTTCAGTTCTACAAGTAACGTTTTCAGGCTAAAGATGAAAGATAAATCCAATTTCTGTTTTCACGCTGGCCTTTGTTTAAGCCAAGGGCATCGGCACATACCAGGACTATGTGTACCTAAGGTTAGACAGGCACTTCTCAATCAGATCCTTGGCCTCTCAATTGAGACTACTTGACATGAGAGGTGACTTTGTAAAGTGACTGCCCTGCACTCCAGGGACAAATTGCCTGTTAATTGATTTTGGCCCCGTGGCAGCTGAAATGATGCCTGTCACAATCTCACCTGTAACCTTGCACCAGCTCCAGCACTCACTGGACTGTTCTACGTGCTGTTTCAGAACACTAAGCTGGCAGAAAACATCGCATGGTTTTGTGCTGCGCAAGCACACTGCCTCACAAGTCAGTCCACAGCAAGCAAGGGGAAGGCTTTTGCAGCCAGGACCATGCAGGACTGCAGCAACCAGCAACACAGGCATTCAGCTTTGGTTACTGCTGCACTACAGCCTGAGCAGGCATGCTAGGGGTGAACACATCCCACAGCTGCTCAGCCATCAGAGCCATTCTATTGTCAGGATGCACAAAAGAAATCAAACAAAAGAAGAAAAAAAAAGAAAGAAACAACCGGTGAGCACTCCTTAAGAGACAACAAGAGATCCATCTTGTCCCCCCAGCACCAATTTCGTGCATTTTCCTCTTCAGCAACCTGGTTGTTTTCTCATTCTGCCTAATAGCAGCCACATTCCTACCTCATTATATGAGAGGAAGCAGCCGTTTACTGCTTGCTACCTGCGGCCATAAACCAGTCTGACACTGCCTTCCAAGTAGCTCCCACCTATCGTCTGAAGGTCAGCAGACCTCCCCAGATCCACAGGCCACAGTGCCAAGTCAGAGACTTTATCAGATGAAGCAGAAGTCAAACAAGGGCCTTCCTTGCCCTAGAACAGCAATCCTCATCTGGTTTTAGCACACTTCTCTACAGCTTTAAGACAGAACATTTACTTCATGCTGCTTGTATTCTACCACTATATGCTCTCCAGGCTTTTTTCCTGGCTTCTTGCTGCCAGAGGATATACCACATTCCACCTCCAAGTGATACTTACGGATTTCTTCCATCACTACTGTGTTGTCCATGGCTATATGTACTGCCAGTGAGCTCCATGTATCAAAAGTTGCAAGTTTTCTATTGAGAAATTTTTAAAAAATTAAGTAAGCATTAGTTACAACTACAAGACAAAGATGGTGGTGTATCAGAGAGGAAACTGGATTGGGAGAGATGGGCTTTCATCAGTCATGCTGCAAAGTATGCTTTTATACATGTATCACAGTTGCAGACTTCACTGCCACTAGTTACTATGGCCAGAAGAATAAACAAGACTGCAAATGGATCCCTCCTGGGAACCTGTCCTTCAGCAGCTGCTACGTACAAGAGGCCTGATACAATTTCCAACTCAAATCCCATAACTGCTGCTTACCAAAAAGTGAGACAGCATTAAAAAAATATCAATAAATAATAAGTGAATAAAAATAACTTTTACTTACCACACATCTCCTGATGACCTATACCAGATGCGGGGCTAATTTGCCACATGGTCTGACCTGGGAAAGCTGCTTTTAGGCAATCTTAGCCTATTCCAGGGAGCTACCTGCTCATTTAATCAAACTGAGGGGAGAATGGTGACAGGAGGGAGAGTGTTTCTCAAAATACAGTACGTCCCAGTTAATAAAGGCAGCCCATGCTCCAGCACCGCTCTGATCCTCTGCCTGTCACCATGGAACCCAGGCAGCAAATATTAATGCTTTCCTCTGCTAACGCATTCGTGATTTGATGGCTTGCTGGCAGCTTTCTGATAATGATGACACTGCTGTCAGGTCAGCAGAGGCAACTCAGAGACCAGCAGAGATCCAAACAATGATCACCTACTCCGACACTTGACACTTCTGGTCTGTGGCACAGTACTGCACTTAGTTATAGTGGCAAGCACAGAACTTGTGGGATGTGGAGAGAGATTTCTGGGGGTTGTCCTCAACTTGAAATCTGTTTTCTCTCACCTCCTGCCAGCATCTGAATGACAGAGGGGCTCCTTTCAAGTTCCTGCCCAAGCAGGTCGGTACGGTCAAGCAGCTTGCTTTCTAACAGCATTAAAACATATGGGTGCACTTCAGTCAATGGGCAGAAACCCGTGCTACAAACCAAACAACCCCACTGCTTGATTCAAAAGAAAGGAAAAACGCAGCACTTACTTGAGCACTTGTGCAACTGTGTTTGGTCCATACCACTGACCTATGGATTTTCCCTCTCCAACTCCCATCTGGGCTGCATCACAAGGGAAAAGAAAAATAATTTAGCAACCATTCACCTAAACTGTACCCCTTCCTAATCAGAGTTTGGATTTAATAGGGAAGAAATCTCACTTGGAAATATTTTGAGTCACAGAATTTACCCTTTCATGGGGTATCTTACTGTAGATGAGAGAGAAAAGCATATCCTCAAGGACTGCAAATAAAATTCTTTCCCCAAAAGGCAATAAAACAGAAGTTCAAAAGGCAATGTTACCTCAGAATAAATTTTAGAGTGTTTGATTACCAGACCACCTCTGTAATCCAAAGTTCTGTTTCCTGAAGCTATAGGTGTCTTAAAACCCTACAGGAAAAACTGGAACAGGCTATCTCTCTTTTATTTGCCAGAGAAGCTTACACCAAACTGAGATCCTTCCTCAGTTCAGTAGCCATCTCTGAGAACTTCTTCGCTCAGCAATCTTTTCACAGTGCAAGGTGCTAGTGAGAGCAGCACCCACATGCTTTCCTCTCACCTCAACTAGCTAGGACATGGAAAGTCATGCTGAATATAACCTAAAGCATTAGGCAAACCTGAAGGCCTAAACTAATAAAATCCATCACAATCCATAATAAACAATGGTAGTTTTACATCACATCAGAAAACAAGCACCATGGTACCTGACATTCTCCTTAGGGTTTCTTTGGGGGTTTGTTTCTTTTTTTTTTTTGGCTAAGCCAGTAAAACAAACACAGTGTTCTACACATATGGGAAACCCAGACCAAACATTTCTAGCACCCAGACTCTTACCTATCTGGTGAATGGAGTAGTAGCTGTCTTTTTTGTCAATGAAGGCATTAAGAACATTGAAGTAATTATCCATCTGCCTCTTCCCTTTTATCCACCTCCAGTCTAGGACAAAGGTACACATGAAACAAAACATTATATTTATTACCAACTAGAGGCTGCAAGCTACAATTCTTTTCCCTGTGCATCAATGACCCGATTTTCATGTCACTATCTTATTAACAGGCATCTGAGGTATTCCCACCACTAAAGGATTAATTTTTAAAAGAATAGCGAGCATTCTTACAGCTGGGATAAAGGAATATCACCCACAGAAAAGCAAACAAACAAACGAACAATTAGAAAACACAAACTGTACCTCTATCCCACAGATAGCAAATAGGATTACAATTTCTCATAATTTCTCATTGGCCAAGAAGGCCAATGCCAGCCTGGGGTGTATCAGAAGGGGTGTGGTTGTAGGTCAGAGAGGTTCTCCTTCCCCTCTACTCTGCCCTGGTGAGACCACATCTGGAATATTGTGTCCAGTTCTGGGCCCCTCAGTTCAAGAAGGACAGGGAACTGCTGGAGAGAGTCCAGCGTAGGGCTACAAAGATGATTAAGGGAGTGGAGCATCTCCCTGATGACGAGTGGCTGAGGGAGCTGGGTCTCTTTAGCTTGGAGGAGACTGAGGGGTGACCTCATTCATGCTTATAAATTTGTAAAGGGCGAGTGTCAGGAGGAAGGAGCCAGGCTCTTCTCAGTGACAGCCAATGCCAGGACAAGGGGCAATGGGAGCAAGCTGGAGCACAAGAGGTTCAATCTGAACATGAGGAAAAACTTTTTCACTGTAAGGGTGCCAGAGCACTGGACCAGGCTGCCCAGAGAGGTTGTGGAGTCTCCTTCTCTGCAGACATTCAAAACCCGCCTGGACGTGTTCCTGTGTGACCTGGCCTAGGTGATCCTGCTCTGGCAAGGGTTGGACTGGATGATCTTTCGAGGTCCCTTCCAACTCCTAATATTCTGTGATTCTGTGATTCATTGACAGCCATGAGCTACATATTCTGGGAAAAAACAGGTGACCTCACTACAAAAATAATCGCCCATAAATTCAAAGGCCATCAACAACTGTCAAAAAAATGCTTTAGTACAGCTGCTTACAGACCAAGCACGGGTCAAGAGCAAGAAGAGAAGTATTCAGGAGGAGACCACACTCAGTAAGTGAGGGCTTTGTCACAAAACTGAACTATAAACAAGCATCAATCACTAAGTTGTTTTAAACTTCAGCTATATAAAAATACCTTCAAGAAAAATCTAGTATGTGCTTGGCTTCAGTGGATTTAGCTAGCATGTTACAGGGCTCTGCTTTGTTTTAAGGCTTGGACAACTACATCTATGTAGAGCTGTGAGGCAGCAGGGGAAAGGCCTGCTGGAGGGTTTCCAGTAGACTGTTCTCTCAACAGCCCTGACCTTGAGAAGGCTGAAGAAGTTATAGAGCCCTCAGCAATTCCTAGCTGTGCCTTTGTTATCTGTTGTCCCTACAAGTACTGCACTTGTGGGAGCACATGGCCCTGGAAGTCTGTAGGGGCTGTGCCTTGGTTTACCTCTTCCCAAATGCCTGCAGATCAAGGCCTGAGCAAAGATCATCTGGCCACACCGCAACATACAGCCCCAGCCAGTATCAGATGTAGGACCGGTTCCTCCTGTAAATGAGGACAGAAAATAAATATGTAATGAATAGTGCCAAGAGGAAGAAGAAATGAAAGTGCTGCAAGCCTGCAGGGGTAGCAGGTTCACTCAGGAAACAAGGCAGGGAATAAGGACTGCCTTAGCTCACATACCCAAGGCTGAGAAACAAGAACGTAGTTATCAGTGAGTAAACTTAATGGTATCCCTTCAAACAAACAAACAAAATCCTCTAAAACTAACTGAAAGGGGAAGAAACTTCAAAGGGAAATCCAAAGTAGAAAGAGAGCTGAATTTCTCAGGAGCAGATCAGCCCTTGAGCCTAGGCACAGACTCTCAGCCCAATTTAGAGACACATTTCTCCACAGAGGTGCTTGTTACAGGCGACTTCTTGTAATCCTCATCTTGAGAGAGCAACTCATCATGCAAAACAAATCAGACCCAAGGAATTCCCGCACCGTAAGTGGCTATGACTGGATGAGATTCCAAAGTGAATCTCATAGTTAGGCCAAAAACAAAACCCCACCAGCCAAAAAATTACCCAAGCTAGCAACAGAAAAACCCACATCCTACATAATCCTGGAGAATACGCTGGATATTAGCTCCCACTGGAAATTCTGAGACAAAGGCCTCAAGGCTGGGAGCATTTCCCCGACAGAACTTCAAAAGGAAACTGCTGCTCCTCTGCTGAAGCTCCGGCTATTATTACAAGCTTCACAGATAAAAAGTTCAGTGTGACCACAGCGAGTGAGCTGGCTCACAAGCATGCAGTCAGCTGTGCCTTAGCACAGCTGGTAGAAGCAGTTTCTTTGTAATGCTGCTTTCTTCTTTTGATCCTATGCAACTACTCTGCACAAAAAGCACAGGGAGAAAAATCACCCAAGAAAATTATTTAATCAACTTCTGGACGGTCAGCAGGTAACTTCCATCATTTTGCCAGCAATTTATAACATATACAGCATCCAAAACATCTAATATTTACAAAATCAGTGTGAGGCACTCCCCTTGCCCTCTGAGGGGCTTACAATATTTAAGCGGGCAAGCACAGAGGGCAGTGGCCAACAATAAAAGGGATGACTGGGAGAAGACAGACTGAAGAAGGGAAAGGTTTACTGTATGACATACTATAAACGGGAAATTACTCAGAAAATTTGATTTCTTTTCACCCCCCCGCCCTGTAGTAACTCACGTAGAAACATCAATTGTGTTTGTGAGCCACAGTTAAACGCATGCTACCCCTTCTATTTCAGACGCATGTTTAACTATGGCTCACAAACGTGAATTTAAAGGGATTAAACTGCAGCAAAGGTGCTTCACAGCCTGTTAGGCAAAGGGTTTCCCAGTTGGGAAAGAACAGAACAAGCCACAAGGAGCAGCCACCAAGAAGTGCCTTTTCCAAACCTGAGCCATTTTCCACACTGACTGCTGGGAATGACAATGACTGTGCGGACATGGATGGGGCCTGGAATCCCATTTACCTGCTCTCAGATCTCTTCTGATACACTTTCCACCCAGTACACAAAACCAAACCACAGAAGAGTTCATGCAGAATTATCTTGAGGAACTGAGACATCTTTTGAGTTCATTGGGAGATGTTCTACAATGATGTTGTACAGCCACTTCGGGCATTTAAAAACCCCGCACACAAACCTCACACACAGTCTACAGCAGATACACAAAGGCAGTAATTTCTGTATCGTATCTCTAACTTTCATCATTTTAATCCACTTCAAGCCCAAGGCCATCATAAAATAATATTTCACGTTAGACCTAATGAACATGAAGTATAAAAATCCTCACATGTTGCTGAAAAAAAAGATGTTTCTAGGTAGGCTTCCCAAACTCATTCTTGTATCACTTTTAAAAATAAAAAAACAACACCCAAGCAGATAAGGAATTCTCACTACCACATAACCAAAAAGTCTATCCTATGAATTAAGTGAAGTGCATTTCAGATTCTTATAAATGGAAGTGCATTAACGCTATGCTTGTGGAGACTGTTTTATTAGGTAGAGATAACCATATTATCACCATTTCCAGGCTGTACTTAGACTCGTCCACAGTACATACCAATAGCAGGGAAGTTCTTTCTGTAGGTGAACCATAGGCGAGAGGTCACATCCAACAGGATCTCTTCTTTCTCTGAAAAATTTTCAGCGTTGAAAGGCACACCTGTGAGGGTAGCACCAAACACAGCCAAACCCATCTCCCACTCACCTTCCCTAACGACAGCAGCATTCTGTTCCTCACACAGTCTGCGTGCTCAGAGAGGCAACATCTGGCTGAGGAACAGGACAGCGCCACTGTGCAGAAGAAATTTCACCCCCTCCCCAAAACAGCTGCAGTCAACCCAAAGACAGCATGGCCATAGGCAAATTACAAAGCAGTAAATAATCTTCTTTCCTTTCCCCTGAGCTACCCCCTTACCTCCCAGTAACTACTACACAAGTCCCAATAACTACTATACAATAACTTCCTGCACAAAAATATTCCAGAGGCCACAGAGACAGCCAGACAGAAGCATGGCAGTTACAGCCTGCAGGCAAACGGACAGACTCTGCAGTGTGTTTATAATGTCTGCAGTCACCTTTCTTCTCACAAAGGTGCAACACTAACAGAGTCCTCTGGAACATCACAGCACATCGCACCGTGCACGTAAAATACCTGTGAAAACACTGTATTTCCGGCCGAGGATCCAAACGGGTTCTTTGGTCTCAGGGAAGTCTTCATATTCGAACCTGAGAGTGTCATAGGTAAGAGTAGCTAGAAAGAGAAAGAAGAAATCACATACCTTTCACCGCTTTTCCTTGTGTTTTAGAAACCACACAACACTACAGAACCAGAGCTGCTGTGGCCCAGTAACTCACACCCAGAGCACCTGGCTCCAGCTGGTAAGAAACGGCACAGTTGTCTCTGCAGCCACCAGCTCCAGGAGGCACAGAGAGCTGCCATGGCCCTGGATTGCTCCTGGCTGCTCCTCAAGCAGAAAAACAGAGGGATTCCAGGTTAGGTCAGCTCCAGGTTCAGAAAATGGGCAAGAAAACATCTAGAACTTCAGCCAGCAGCCACACTCTGCTTCCCCAAACAGGCACAGTCATGCACATCATCAATAACGACATCAAGGTCCTCTTTTCAAGCAAGCAAAGTGACTAAAATCCTTCTTCTACAGAATGTAGTATTTGGTGGTCGAACACAAAAAGCACAGATCACATGAAGAGGGGAACTAAACCTTGCTCTGCAAGTCGGTCCCACCTCAAGAGGCACTGAATCGGGCAGAAGTCATCACCTGCACTCAAACCAGCCCGCAGCTGAGGAGCAGCACTGCCTTCACGGCTGCGACCACCACTATCCATGGTGCACACCTCGCCTCTGGCTTCCTAGGAGTAACCTGCTGCTCTTCTCTGCCTATGTAGAAGGCCTCATCCTTCTCACAAGTAGAAGATATTCCTAGTTGAGTTTTCCTCCCAGTCACTCCCTGCTTTCCAAAGCAGGAGCACCAGTCAACAACAGCTTGGCTGGTTCGCATCAACAACAGCTTCAGAAAGTCACCGCAAGGTTCTGCTCCCCCTTCCTTCCAGATATCCAGGATACTCCACATTGTGCTCGGGCAAACAAGCTACGCAAGACACCTTGGCCTCCTGCGGGTACCTGATCAGCCTTCTGCTCCTGGGCTCCCTGATCTGAACCTCCAACTCCAAATGCCAAAGAAAATTCCTAAGTGGCAGCAGGAAGACACTGCCACCAAGCCCAACAACTGTTTAAGCAGGAACCCTGGCAATGGAGATAATAAAATTTTGGATTAGAATCTGCATCTAAGCACAGCCCAAAAGATTTAGAGCACGTTCCTAGTATGAATTAGTCGACAGACTGTTTCAGGCACATTTAGGATAGCATGGGCCACACGCTCCATGATGTGACTCCTCAGCAGCAAGCTAAGCAAAGCAATTTTGCTGGCACAGAAAAGCACCAGCAAATGAATACAGTATTTTCCTCTAACAAACTTTAGCAGTAATTAAGAACGTTACTGGCCAAACTTCACAACTCCCCAGCAGCCCACGCTTTCTGTGTCTCTCTTTTCTTAATAGCTTGGCTTGCTTTCACCCCTTCCTTGCTCAACATCGGAGATTTCTATCCAGGGAAGAAGGCAATGTGACTTCTGCAGATGTTTTCAAGTGTGCACCACTTTGCACTTTCTCCCTTCATTTTCAGAAGCTTCCTTTTGGGATGAGACATTACGAGTTTATTCTGACAGCTCAAAGGCAGTCTAATCGTCAGGATTTTTTAAAATTCAGTGTTACCAAGTACAATCTTAACATAAAAGCTAAAGTTCCCTGACAGGTTTTAAAGCTCCAAGGAGTATTCTGTGGTTTATTTTGTCAGCTCTTCAGCTTGCATGAATCCAGCTCTCTGCCATAAGGGTCCCAAATAACTTAAAATGACTGAAACAAGGACACCACACAAACTATCAAGCTCCCCACCATACCTCTTTCTCCTTCCTAGATACTTCCTAGCCTTCTCAAATGTGCAGCTCCACACCTCACAGGTCCCAAGCAAGCGTGGAATTTGCAACTGGAGAGGAAGGGGTCAGCAGGGGGGAGGGATTCCCATGTGTACTCAGGGAACGGCACATTCGGGAGGAGAGTCCCAGGCTTTGCAGCCCTTCAGCTGAGCGCCCGCCAGCCGGGCTCTCTGCAGAGGGCCCGCGGGTCCAGCTGTACATCCGAAAGGTGCGGTCAGACGTTAGCGCGTACGTCGGTTTTTTTGGAAGAAAATACTTGCCACCGTCTGAAAGGGCACAACGGCCAAATGCAGGAGTTGAGGTTTCACCTCCACAGAGAGGAAAATTCAAGTTATTGCTCCTCCCAGTTAGTATCCACAATTTTATAAGGGGAGCAATAAACTCTCCACTTCTTGAAGCCACGAAGCGTTTCCTTTACAAACATCCACCCTCACACGCTCTGGCGCCTTTTCAAAACTACATCCGTTGTGCTGTTGCCCAGAGGAGTTAAAAGTGAGCAAGCGGGAACCAAACAATTCAGGCAGGGGTACAAAGAGTGTCACAGCTTGCACAGGAGCCTCACTCTCCCGCTTAGAGGCAAAGGGTCTGAAAAGAAATAAAACTGGAAATCCACCAAGCAGAAATCCTATTTGTAGATGCTGCTTTCAGAGCTGCAAAAGTCAAGTGAGATCAGCAAATTTCTCAGGCAGCACTCCAAAACTTCACCTTCGGGAAGCCCTCAACCTATTTTAAATACCGACCTCCGAGCATCCAGCAGCCCCTGCAGAAAATCCAAGCGCACATCAAATACAGCAGTTTAACTTCTTTCAGCGCAGAGTGGATTCACAGTTAAAGAGTCAAGAGTTTCAGCCCTGCAAAGCACACCCCGAGAAAGGAGGCCTTGCTCTGCAGGAGCCTGGGGAATGCTGTGAATGATGGGAGGACGGCTGGACCCCACCATGGGGTCTGCCGTGGTGGCCCAGAGCACCCTCTCATCCCACAGCCTCCCCGACAGGAAAGGCAAAGCTTTGTGTGTGCCACTACAGCAAATACTCATATTAAACAACCTAGGAAAAGCCATTCAAATTAAAACCACATTAAATACCAGTGTTAAGACTCAAAGTTTGAGTTCTCTTCCACTTTGGTGCATGTGGTTACATCTGCTCAGTTCTAACAGGCCATATCACAACAGCTGCTTGCACAAAGCACCAGGAACCAACCCTTGTCACCCCCAGCCTGTAACTATCAGCAGCTTTCAGTGTCAGGTTACTAAACGTGAGTACGTGCAAGGTTATTGAAAAGCTACACAGCATCATCTTGACATTGACCATGAAAAAATGCCTCGGTACAGAGAATTAGGGTAGAGGGTGAAACCTTTGCTTCCCTTCTTCGATTCTTAAGCTCTACAAAGAAAAAGCCAAGCTAAAAAAGTTATGGCAACTTGTAATAAGCTCCCACATACCCAGACAGAGCAGAGAGGAGGAAAGCTACTGGATGTAAAATATTTCGAAAGAGAGTCAAGAGAAGGTAAAGCTACTGTGTTAATAAAGCTCATTGCTGAAAAACCCCAGAGAACAGATAACTGAACAATAGCCTGAACCCTTATTTCTAGCCTTTGCAGAGGAAAGATTAAGTCTTTTATTTCCCCTATGCTCCTTCAAACAGGACAAATCCCAGTTATCAAAGCAACACCAAGGAGTTAAGAGACAGCCAAGAAGGAAAGTCAGTCAACTGGAGAGCGGCGCCTTCTCAGAGGCCCAGAGCAAACAGTTCAAAGTCTGCCTGTCAGGGGTCCCGACCTGAGGAGCAGGGCTGGACACAAAGGGGCTTGAGGCTCTCGTTGCCCAGAGAGCCACCTCCTCTTCGCACAGAGGAGATCCAGCCCTGCCGCCCATCGCAGCGAGGTTTTCCTTCCCTTGCTAAGCCTCGTAACGCTTTTGCAAAGGGAAAGCAAACATCTCTCTCAGCTCAGGTTGTGTAATTTCACTTGCTGGAACGTGCTTTGTTCCCAGGTGCAAGAGAGCAGATGTAACGACGTGGAAGAAAGGCAGAAAGTCAGGATGCTGTCAACCAGACTGCACGGGCAACAGCAGCGCCCGCACCAAGGACAGAGCCAAGGCAAGGAGCAGCCGAGAGGGACGAGATCTACAGATTCCCTCCATGTGCACACGCTCACCCAACGCGGAGGGAGAGCCCACACAGCACAGGAAAATATTTGTTATTATGGAACAACGCTTATCTCTGCAGAAAGCCGTTACTACGCCAAGGCTAGCGAGTACTAACCAAGGTGCCAAAACACGCTTCTCTTTTACCTCCCCCTGTATGACAACAAAATCTTTATCACAAACAGCTTTGCCAATGCTCTCAGGACGGTGACGAGGGCTCACAAGGGAGCCCAGTCCCCTTACCCCTCGACGCAGCAGAAGGCGACCGCAGCGCCCCGGGAGCGGAGCACAGGGACGCCCGCCCCGCCATCGCCTTCACCCTCCGGTTCGCTTCCGCGAGCAGCCCGGTACAGCTCACGCCGCCAAACCACGCCGAAGAGCTCGGTAGTTTTTGGGAACGGCTTCAAAAGACGGGCTCGGAAGGACGGGAGGGATCCGCCGCC